TGTGTGTGTGTGTGTGTGTGTGTGTGTGTGTGTGTGTGTGTGTGTGTGTGTGTGTGTGTATTGGGGCCATGTTAAGAGGTAACTGCTTTTAAATAGACTGCATGACATTTTCTGGAGGTCGGGGAATGGGGATATAATTAAGTGGGAACTGATTTCTGTGATTTCCCTTTGTGCTCAGCTTTCGAGGACTGAGCACAACAATGGTACTCCATTTCAAAATCCAGCTCCTAAAATGTGTATTAGACACCACCAAGCAATTTCTCTGAAAGCAGCCAAAGTTCAGTTTTCAATGCTCTCATATTTTTAAAATAGGCAAAATAAACTGAGATCAGTGAGTGGTGCTCTACATGATTTTACAAAAAGACAATCATTCGGTTAACACTGGTGTAGTCACACAGTATAACAAAGACAATACAGTTTCTCAACTTTGGGTTCTTATGCTCAGATCACTGCAGTGGAGTTGTGTCATTATGAAGCCACAGAGAAGGCTTGTGGGGGCCACTGGTATAAATATCACAGTGTAGCAGTAGCAGCATTTTAAACCTAACCACTACTTACAACATAAAACACCAGTGGTGAGCATAATGAGCAGCAGGTCCGGGGTGCCAACGGGCACAAAGAGGGATGATGAAAATCCCCTCTAAGACCAGGATGGACACGGTTTACTCCATGGAGAGCCTTCTGTTGCTTGGCTTATAGAGCGGTGCAGGGATGACGTATTATTGTAGACCGTACAAGCTAGCAATGCAAGGGCCCCTCAACAAAAGGCAATGGAATTTTTGTATTGGATTTGGAATATTGCAGAAAATGTGATCATTAGCACATTTATGATATTAACACGTGCATCATCTCCACATATTAACACCACTTTTTGAGGTTTGAAGCATGATGTCAAGTGAAGAAGAAGTGGTAAACTGGTAAAACCCTTTTTCCAGGTTTTAGGACAAATTCCTGGAACACTCCTATTATCTAGAGCTCAAACAGCTGATAGCAATCAGATCACGCATGCACAACTTCACAGTCTGTCTGAAATGATGTTCCAACATGTCTACTGATAGAAGCTGAACTCCATTCACTGATAAAGACCACAACATCCATTCTCAAAGTATTTTAACAGTGTCAATTCAGGGCAGGGCAACATGTGCTGCTGTTCTTAGCCTCATTGTGCCATATTAACATGAACACTTTGTTTAAACATGACACTAAATGAACATGTACAGATCATTATTTGTGTTACATGTGAAGACATATACACATAGGAACTTAAAAAAAAAACATTATTCTCCTATGAGGACATTGTTCTTTTATATGAGAGCACTTCATAGGAAGTCAGCCATCCTAATGTTGGTTGTTAATGATTTCAACTCAGATGTGAACGTGAGTTGAAATCATTAACAACCACCTGCTGATCATGTCCATCAACAATAAACTTCAAACAATCGATCAAAGACCGTAAATAACAGGCCGAGCAGAGGCCGAAGTCTGTGAAAGAGGTCATTCGGCATGAGGATTAGAGGGCACTGTAACATTTAAAAAAGCTCTCCTTATCTCCTTATTGCTAGTCAATCCAAACTAATATTAGGATCAGCAATATGGTTTTTAAAATGTGTACACACTGTAGACTAATGCAGCCATTTTAGCCCAATAAGAGTGATCTATACTGTAGGAATCTTGACTGATACACACATGAGTTAATACAGTACGACTAACTTGCTCTGTTTTCACCATTCATGTCTTCATGCTAACATAATCAGTAACAACTTTGACAAAAGTTTGACATCTCAAATTCCTTCACTATTTTGTTAATTCTATTTGACCTCTGGGTTTCATAGTTGTTCATGTTCATCTGCAGCATTGACCGCCTTTCTGATCTGTAACTCAATGACAGCTTCAATCAATAGTCATCATAGAGATCATAGTGTAACTTTCTGTGACTTCAACTGGACTGGCCTATGACTCCAGGCCCAGAGGAC